TAGTAGTCCAAATGAAAGCAACCTATAAAACCAAGTAGACAGCTACTTCCAAATATTACAGGTGAAAAATGTACATAAATTTCAAGCACATGAACTTTACTCAAAATCTGAAAAGAAATCATTATATTGTGTTCCAAAACCCCCAATTCTCTACAGAATAAACTAGCCTAAAGGTGATGATATTATAATGTAAGAATTTTATTTTTGTTGCATAAATAGCAATATTCTTTCCTTCAATATTTTATGAGCACATAGGAAATTATATATCAAAAGCAATAAGAAGAAAACATTTGGGAAAATGTCAGAAGGGCTGAGATGCTAGAGTCTACCTTGAAAGACAAAGTTACACTTGAAGAGATTTGCACATTTGTAGCTTTGGGATTTATGGTATATCTCAACCTGTAGAGTTCAAGTGGTAGAAGGCTACAGACTTAGTAGCCTGGCTTGAGAGCCCAGAAGAGTCAATACATTTGAGGAGGAAGTAGGCTTGGAATCTGCAGAATTCTTCTAAAACCTTTGGCTCATCTGTACATGGCATACAGAAGACCTCAGAAGACCTCAGAAGACCTCAGAAGATCTTATGAAACCACAGAAGCTAGAAATTGGAAGAACTGAGCAGGAATTCCTACTGATATCTACTACAAGGGAGAAAAAAGTAAAAACTTGTATCTAGACACAATATCTACTTACCAGAATATATACTCACAGGCACACAATGCACTCTAGAATCTCTACAACACATCATTCATAATATCCTGTATTCTATTAAAAGTCACTAAGCAGATGAAGAAAGAAGACAACAACATAGACTCATGAAGGCAAAAAAGAAAATAAAATAAGACAGAAAAAAAACAATAGTAAAAAGAAACCAATCTTGAGATAACCTGACTGTTGAAATTATCAAAGACTGTAAAGTAGTTATTATAAGATTGTTTAAGAACTTTAAGGAAAATGTATGAATGACAGCTGAACAGATGGGGATCACAGAGATGTAGAAAATACAAAAATACCCATGAAAACTCTAGAGTTAAACTCTGTAATAACTGAAATAAAAATTAACTGGAGAGACTTAACAGCAGATCAGAGATGGAAGAATAGATCAGTGAACTTGGAGAAATGCAAATTATTCAATCTGGAAAACAAGTGGAAAAAAAGATTAAAGAAACAGGAAAAAGATTAAAGACACATAGAACTTCTGAGATCAGTGAGATTCATCAAAAAAGTTCAATGTATGCATATACAATTGTAGCCCCAAAAGGAAAGAAAAGGAAAATAATGTAGCAAAATTTAAAAAAGAAGAAGAAGAAAGAAAAAAAACCAACTTCCCATCATGGCAGGTATTAGCTTGTAGATCCTAAAAGCTCAACTAACCTCACACAGAAAATATAAAGAAATCAGACTTACGTGTTTATAATCAAACTGTTGTAATTCAAAGAAAAATAAATCTTGAAAGAAAATAATACTGAAAACAGGCAGAAAATAATACTGAAAACAGGTAGAAACTCCTATATTTTATATAGGAGTATAATAAAATGAGTGACTGTTGATTTCTCAACAGATACAGGAGGGGCCAGGAACAATGGAAACTGATAAAGAGGTAGGGGTCAAAGAAAGGAACTATCTCGGTCAAAATGTTCAACTAATTCATCCTTCAAAAATAAAGATAAAATAAGCACTTTCAAGGTAGGCACAGGCTGAGAAAACCTATCACTGACCAATCTGCCCTTCAGGAAAAAAAAAATAAAAACATTAAATGGAAATAACATGAAGTGATAATCTGGATATATAGGAAGGAAGAAGAGCTTCAGAATCACTATATAAAAGAAAATTATAAATATTCATTCTTAACTTCTTTTAATTCTTTGAAAATCTAAGATACAAAGTTTAAAAGCCTCATTAGTGAAAATTATAACATGACATTGTGGGAATTGTGTCATGTAGACATAGTATCCATGCCAAAGGCAGCACAATAGACGAGGCACTACAAGGAACTGAACTGTTACGAGGCTTCTATATGGAATGTGAAATACAGAACCAACTCCATAGTGCAAACAGGGACAGTTTAAAGTTCAACAGAGCTGAGCATATGCTCCTGTGATCCCAGTGACTCAGGAACTGAAGTTCAAGACCAGCCTCTGCAATTCAGTGAGGCCCTGTCGAAAATACAAAAGGGCCAGGAATATATCATGGTGGGTTCAATTCCCAGTATAATAAATAAATAAATAATAAATAAATAAATGGAAAATAAAAACACAAATAAATGGCAGAAGGGAGTAACAGACGAATAACATAACAAACCAAAGAGAAAACAAACTGTAACAAACTGGTCTTAAATCCAACTGCATCAGTGTTTATGTTAAAAGCAAATGGAGAAAACACTCATAAATTGACACAACACCAGAATTAAAATGCATAGATTCTCAGATTTGATTTAAAAAAAAAATGTGACTCAAACTGTTATTATAAGACATTCACTTAAAGTAATCAGTAAGGATAGAGAAGATATGAGTGATACTACAACCACCTTAATCAAACTGAAATTGTAAAATATTATATCCTATACCTGAAAAACAAGTGTACTTTGCTAATACAAACGGCACTTAACACAGGATACACTTAGGCTGGGCCATTACCAACTCTTAACAATCTGAAATCATATAAGATATATTCTTTGGACCACAATAAATCTAGAGAAGACCCAAATATTTGGGAAAAATGATGATTCGTCACAAAATAACCAATAGGTTAAAGAAAATCATGATGGAAAGAAAGGACATTGAAAAAGTAAGATGTTCAGCTGTATAAAAAAAAATGTATAGCTTTCAGTGGTTTTCAGAGGACTCAAGACTTAAAAATCAAAGAGAAAATTTTCAAACATAAACAAATCAGCCTGTGCTTAAACAAATTAAACAAATTGAAGAAAATAAAGAGAAGAAATAAAAATTGACAATTAGCCCAACTGAAACCAAACTATAGAGAAAATTAACAAAGCCAAAATTGGTTCTTTGAAAAGTTTCATAAAGCTAAACAATGCCTACCAACATTGAAAAAGAAAGATAAAAATCATAAATTAAATGTCAGAAATAAAAGATGAAATGATATGATGACCCCTGATCTTAAAAATGACAGGGGACTATCAAGAAAAAGCATGTTTATAAATTTAACATGTCAGGTGAAATAGACAAATTTATTTAAAAAAAAATTACCAAACTGATGAAAAATCTCAATACCAATATATCTATAAAAAATAAAATTTAATGCAAAGAAATTTCTATGTCCAGATCATTTAACTGGTGACTCTTTTTCCTCAAGGATTCTTACCAAATTTAGAAAATAAAGGGTGAATAGTTATTGCCTAACTCATCTGACACACAAGCCTGATAATAACCTTATAAGAAAAAAAAAATACAGACCAACAGACTTCATAAATATTTATGTAAAAACCTTAATAAAATGTTAACAAATTAAATCCTATAATAAAATACTGTGTATTGATCAACAGAGTTGATTCTAGGATGCTAGGTCATTTTAAAAAATGATCCTCAATCATTCCCACGCAAACACACAGAGAAAAGGTAGGAGTAGGTAAGGATGCAGTGAGGAAGCCTGCACAGCTCACCCTTGGAGTATCTGATTGTGACATCTGCAGGATTATGCTATAGTTGAGATCTTCAATGTTCCGCAAAGGCCCATATGTTAAGATACTGGTTCACAGCCCATGTACTATGGGGAGGTGGTGGAACCGTTTGGAGGTAGCCTCGCAGGAGAAAGCTGGATCATTCATGGTGTATGCTTAAAGGAGATACTGGGACCTTGGCCCTTTCACTTTCTCTCTATTTCCCAGATGCCATGAGGTGAACATATCTCTACAATGCATTTCCACCATGATGTGCTTCATTGCCACAAGCCCAAAGCAACCCCACCAAGAAACCAAGGACTAAATTCCCCAAACTTTTGAATCTTCCTTCCTTTTAAGTTGATTATCTCAGGTATTTTGTTACTGACTGTAAGGCAGAAGGAAAGGTGCAGTTTCAATTGAGTGTTTATACAAAGATAAAGAAGTTAGAGCATGACTCAATGTAGATGGAATAGATCATGAGGAGCCAGAAGTTGTTATACATAGGGGAAAAAAAGATAAATTAGATGGGAAATCCCTGAGATAGTGGTCTTACAGCACAGTTAGGAAGACATTCATGTTGCAAAATATGAAACATTTAAAGTGTTAAATATAGAAGAAACTAGCAATAAGATAACAGTTGTACATTATGGCTATGTTACAGACATTAATGTGCATGTGGTCTTAAAATCACCCAGCAACATGGAAATGCTTCATAACCTAATGCTAAGAGACATAGAAAAAGCACAACACAAAACATGATGCAGACTACGATGATACATTAGTGAAAAAAATGTGGGAAAACAGCTTTAAAGGGGGTAAGAATAGTAAACTTCATTGCTATTATGTCGTGGGATTATAGTTGGATATTTTCTGCTAATTTTTTTCTCACAGTATAATGTAACTTTAATAATTTTAGCAATCTTTTTCTTAATCAAAGAGAGGCATAAAAATGTTTAAAAATATCACTTAAAGTTAGGTATGTTCCTGTTTAAATGGTGTGTCCCCAAAATACAGGTTATCCAGAAATCCTTAAGAGGAAATAAGGTACTTGCATGTAGTTAGGATGAGCCATTGAATTAGATCCCCAATGTCTGATGGTATCTTTTTTAGGAAAAGAATAGGGAGAAACAGAGGCACAAAGGAAACAGGGAGGTCATGTGGTGATGCAGGCAATGATCAGAGTGATATAGCTGTAAATTAGGAAATGCCAAGGATTTCTGGAAAATTTTATGATTTCCTAAAGCCATTTGAAGGGACAGGGTCTTGCTGATTTGGGTCTTGATTTAGGACTTTTGGCTTTCAGAACTAAGGGAGTAAATTTATGTTGTTTTAAATCTTTCAGTTTGTGGCCATTTGTTATATGGTCTATAAGAAATGAATACAATTTTCAATTGATCAGATAATTAAATACAAAATACTTATTTGGGTTTCTTCTCTTGATTTTTTAAAACAAATTAAGAAACAGCACAGAAATGCTGAGCAAAATTTGAATCAGTATCCTGATTTGATTCCTCTTGCACCACCCCCAGAGAGTGCATCCTTACATACTTAGATGGCAGGTAGGTGATAAGAAAAAGAGGTAAGATTGATCAGGTAATGTCTAGTTCTTTTTCCCTGATCTGTCCACACACAGATTATGGAAGATGAATGTTTTTCCCATACTTTCTCCTTCAAAATGTAAGAAAGAAGTTCACTCATTATAGTGAAATATAAAAGGAAGGGACAAATGTTCTCCCTTAATAATGCTGCATAGCAGACTTCCTCCTGAAAACCCAAAAAGTCATATCTAAACTTCACTTTGGCATATCCCAAAGAATATAAAGCAGTGTCATGAACATTCAGTACTTTGTTGTATGAATAAAACCAAATGCATAAAATGACACTAATATTGTCCTTAGCCATAAATTGTATAATTCAATATATATGTATATATATATATATATATATATATATCAGCATTATTATTAGAGATATACAGTATTATATACACTATTATGTAGACTCATTAGATCAAAATTATTTTAACACATTACTTTCTCTGAAATGGGTAGAATCTTAAAAAAACAAATTATGGCTTAATTGGAAGTATCTCGCTCTTTCTTAGTGGTATTTAAAATAATGGTATGTCTTATAATTGATGGAGATTTGGACTCAGTGAAATATAGTCTATTGAAAAAAAAGCTTAAAATTATTTTCTTATCAATTGTAGAAGCAAACATGTAAGACCCATACATACACATAAATGCATGCACACAATTCATTCTCTTTCTATTTTTCTAGTAATCAGAGGCAAATGCCTGAATTCAAGAACATAATTCAACAGCTCAGCAGTAGTGCCAACCTCAAGATCAAGGTTTTCAGAGAATGTTTTTTCCTCAGCTTCTAATTGTCTGCCATCCAGACTTGGAAGGGAAGGTGCAGAATTGAAGTCTTCACTGAGAGCAGTTTCTTTATCTTCTCCTAGTCTTTCTTTCTCCTCCACATGCCTACTCTTTCTTAACAAGCTCCTTGGCAGAGGTAAAGGCTTAAAATGGTCATCTGTTTCAAGGCTGCTGCTATTTTCTGCTAAAAAATAAAATGTTTTAAGATGATTGGGAGGAAAAAAAAAACACACAACAAAAAACACTTTGGCTTTGACCACTGCCCCAGACACCAAACTTCCCTCCAGTGCCATGTCCTAGAAAGTCCAGATGAAGACCACACCCTTATCCATAAGCTCAAATAAGACCCAGATAAGGAATAATTCATGGCCCCCAATTTTTAACAATGTTGCCATCAGATACTTTAAAGTATACTGAAAGTAATCAGTATACTTTAGTTTTATAAGAAGTTAACTCTTTAACTTTATGAACTCTCATAATATTCAAAACATTTGAAAAAACATAAAACCTTGCCTCAATAAAATGAGGAGGTCCGTGCATCAAATCTTAAAGTACCTGAAGCCAAGCTATGTACACACTATTGATCCTCATAACATAACAATGACAATGGCCCTGTCCAAGGACTTAACAGGTTGGGAAGGGAGATCATTTATAGCAAAGGTTTTTTGTTTGTTTGTTTTAACTGGGCATTGAACCTAAGGGCACTCTACCACTGAGTAAATCTCCAGTTCTTTATTTTTTATTTTGATTTTAAGACAGGGTCTTACTAAGTTATTGAGCCTGACCTTGAACTTGGGATCCTTCTGCCTTTGCCTCCTGAGTAGCTGGGATTGTTGGTCTTCTTAGACAAACACAAGGACAAGACAAAGGTAAGTGCTGTTACAAGCATGAAAATGATGACACTGGCACACAAGGGATAGAAGTCTTACCCTCTCACTGGAGGAATGAATGAAAAAACATGACTAGTGAGTTACCATTCTTTGAGTCCATTAAAATTGTATAGTTAGGGCTGGGATTTAGCTTGGTGATAGAGCACACAACTGAGCATGCAGGAGGCCACAGGTTCTATCCCCAGCACCACAAAGACAAACAAATGAAAAAATAAATGAACGAAATTTCACAGTTGCTTTTCCCAAGTTGCAGTTTAAAATAAGAACCAGTATGCTGGTATGCTTCTAGCCCTCAAAGCACTGATTTTTCTTCATTTATATACTTTTTGCCTAAATTTTACCTATTACACATACTTCTTCACTATTCTACCAATGTATTCTTCTAAAACTTTACAACTAGGCTAATTAACACATACCTCTTCTTTACCTACCAAAGGGCTTATGAATGTTGTTAGAGGATTCCACAATCTTGTCAAACTGGTACCACTATAAATGCTTCCTTGCCAATTTTAGCTATATCTAAAACTCTGGTCAAATGTTCATCCCCAAGTCAAAGAATCTTCCTAGATTCCTCCCTCCGTTTTGCCTGCAACCAAAGAATCACTACAGCCAATGATTCTACTTGATAAATATCTCTCTCCTTTATTTTATGCTCTTCATCCCTAAGTTAGTTCCTCATCTCCTCTTTCTAGACAGTGCCTCAGGGATATCTATAAAATGTAAGTCAGACCCCATCACTCCCTTCACAAAATTCTACAAGGGCTCCCCATCATCTAATCCTATAGAATAAAAACTCAATGAGCTTTGAATAAAATGAAAGGCTTTCCTGGTGTGTCCCTGAGTGCCTTGCTGCCCTGTCTGCTGGCACACCCATTTTCTAATTTCTGTTCCTGGGATAGTGAACTAACACACAGGCTACACAACTTTCTTGTCACCAAATCTCTTCCTAAGCTGATTCATCTGCCTAAAACATCCACTTCTGGTTTCTCCTCCTAAAGATGCTTGTTATCTTTTGAACCTCAGATTAAGTAGAATATTGGACAATGACTAAAAGAAGGTACTAAGTCAACGTTTTATTTTATTGTGGTAAGAATAGTTATCATGAGATCTACCCTCTTTAACATTTTTAAGCATGTAATACAGTACTAGCGATAGCTATAGGCACAATGTTGAACACAGATCTCTAGAACTTACTCATCTGATATAACTGAAACTGTTGAATAGCAATTCCCCATTCCCTGCTCCTCCAAGACCCTGGCAACCAACAATCTACTCTGTTTCTATAAGTTTGCCTAGTTTAAATACCTCTTATTTGAGTCGTGGCTCTGACACTTATTATATATCCTTATATAAATTATTTGACCTCTATCTACATTGAAGTTTTCCCACTGTTCAAATCAGTTAAAATTTTCTAAGTGCTTATAGGTTCTTGGCAAGAAAATATATAGTATGTAACACAGTGCCAGACATATCACAAGTGCTCAGTGACATGAACAATGGTGGTAAACATTTCTTAGCCTTTTTTTTTTTTCTTTTGGTTTGTGAATCACTCCTGTGTTCTTTGGAGCAGTTTCTCCATGAATCCATCTGTGTGATATTGGTGGATTAACAAATATCTCTACCATAGTCAGTGAAAAGTAGGGATCCATGATGTGCCCTACCACCACCATTACTAACTTATTTTGTTGTTGTTGTTGTTCTATGCCTCCTACTAAATTGTAGTCTTAGATGATTGGTACTAAGCCTTTTCAATGTTGCATTCTTATTTACCATCACAATGCTTTTAGTATGATGAGACATAATATATTCAATGTATATGCATGAATAAGTAAAATGATTTGCTTATAGACAGATGCTAAATAATAATAGAATGCTTAATTTATTCCAATACTGTTGTAAGCACTTCAAGTCTAAGAAGTTATAGAAGAATAAGGCTAAGCTCATAAAGCATAGTCCTTCTTTCATGAATGAATCATTCACATATTCATTTAGGTCTTTAAAGAATTCTATACAGCACTTTTCTTAACACTAAATAAATTTTCAAATTTATTCTTTAACATAAAAAACCTGAAAATAATGACTTTTTAATATATCTTATACTAAAATTCCTCTTCCAGAAGTACTAAAAATTTCTAAGATAGAAAAAAGTCTATACATTTCCAAATGCTTTTTAACATTTATAATCAAATATCTAAGTTCTCTACTTAAGCTACTATTTTTGTGTTACATATACTGATCATAATATTGCAGATGCCTAAGTAGAGCATTTGCAGTCATGCTGCCACCTTGAGGCTAAAATACATGTCTTTGTTTATCTTAACTCACTGCAGCTTTTTAACATGAGATAGGTAAATTTTTATTTTGCTAGTTACCTACCATTCATTTCTAATTCTATTCTTCCACGTGTTTGAGAACATTTTTTTTCATGCTAAATGCTCATATTTTTTAAATAACCAAGGTCAAGTATGTTCCCTTTCTCCATTGTCAGTTTCACTCATTACCCTGGGAAAGCATGTCAGTAAGTTAATGGTTTCATTATGCTTTGTGTTTACACTTTTGTAGTGCATTACAGTTTATGAGACTCATTCATTAGATTCTCAAAACAATTTTGTAGGACAGGAAGAGCAGGTTTTCTTCTCCCTATGAGGACAGTGAGACTTAACCTATTTGCTGAAGTCAGATATAACTAATTTATGATGGCTTGTTTTTCAGTGTCTTAGACATTATTAAAGGGTTTTTTGTTTTGGCATCTTTCCCTCTTTTCAAAGTTAGTGGGATTCTGTGTGCTGGGCAAAAGGAAGTAGTTCCCTAATGCATGCCTGAAATAAAGTTTGTCTGATATTATCAGTGATATCTAACATGAAAAGTATGAAATGTTCACCAGCACTGTATTTACTGATGAGATTTTTACTAAGGCTAGCATCAACTAAAATTTTCTTTATAAAATGGAAGGAACAAGACTAAAAGATATCAAACTCTTAACCTTGCATCCACAAATTTTTGTGCATCTTCCAAAGGACTTCAAGGGGCGGGTTCCAGCTTTGTTCCACCTTTGATCCACTGTGCTTGGAGTTCAGTAGAATACTTGGGAGAACTCTTGTATTCCCAGATCACACCAAGAATTTCCTTTCAGAAAACTGAATTTTAGTAAATTTTCCAATGCTATCAAAGATCAAATGGAGATTCTGTTTTCTTAAGGAGTGTCTGGAAACTTTGATAAACAAATAGCAGTGACACTTAAAATATATCAATGCCAAAAAACTGTTCTGGCAAAATATTGGTTTAGAAATGATTGTTTTGTGGTGATGGAGATTGAAACAAGGGCTATGTACATGTTATGTTAGGTAAATACTCTATCACTGAGTTATGACGACTCAGCTCTGGAAATGACAGTTTTAGTATTGAGACTATAGAGTGAATAAGAAAGCATTCCATTGTGTTTCCATCCCTAAGAACAAAATTTAAGCTTATGGGAATATGTGTTTTGGGAGCTGCAGCTACATATAACTATAGGTGCTTTGGCTTTTTATTAGGCACCAGAAGAGATTGAAGACAGAATATACAACTGGATATCAGAATTATGAGTTTTCTCTGTGGTTCAATTGTCTTATTTCTATAAAACTGTAAATGAAATATGACTTATTTTTTTCTTACTATATACTACCTACCATATAAAGATTTTTGAAATTTTGTCTTAAAATAAATTTTCAAGAAATACAATTGTAGTATCTAACAACCTACCTGAAGATGTGCTTTTGAGCGAAAAAATTCTGGGTTTAGGTTTTAGTTTAATTCTTTCTTTTTCAACATCTTGATCTTTATCCTGAGATTCTGATGAGGAATTTACCACCATGTCTTCATAACCATCAAGTGCCACATCTTCATTGTTTTTGACAGAAAATTCTGGCCCATCTTTGGTTATGTCACTGTTTGATTTCTTGGTTTTCAAAAAAGATAGTTTTGGAGAATTATTTTCTTCATCATCTGATATATGAAAATCATTCATTTTTTTCTTAATGGAATTTTCATCTATGGAGGTATCAGAAAAATCACCCAATGAAACTGAAAACAGACCAAAAAAAAAAATGTTTTCAATAGTATATTTTAAATCTCTTAAGGTCATATTAATCTTTTTTAAAAGAAAGATTACCTTGAAGTCTAGAAAGGGTTTGAAGTAAATTTATAATCATGTTTAAGTGCAAATTTATTTTGCAGCTCTTAAAAACAGCTTATCTAGTCTGTTCTGAATTTAAATTTATGTAATAAAATTTTCAATTTCATTAATTTATTTAAAGTATTTATTGAATGCCCACAGGGTGC